CCTCTGATCACTGAAGCATGGATCATACTACCTTAAAAACTGTCCGCTGTGAGATGCTCGCAGCAGCGAACATCCTCCACATCAGAGAGCAGCAAAGTGATCGCGGGGACTCACGCTTGAAAACAACCAAACCAGGACTAAACCAGGACTAAACCAGGGCTAAATCAGGGCTGAGGACGGGGTCAGTGCTTGTAAACATACGTCTTTACTCCGAGTGTCTTCTATGACTGTAAAAGTGCCGTTACCGGCGTCTGCATCAAAGCTCCGCCCACTTCTGTGTTTTTCCCCAACGCAGGACAGGACGTAAGACACGCACATGTTTGGAATGTGATTGATAACGCAGATGTGTGGATGCAAATTATTTTATAAACGGAGGAGGGGAAATATTTGGATTTAAATAAACCAGGCATGGCACATGGACATGGCACCACAATCAAATGACATCTGTGTTTTACTCAGTAATGTTTTACTGACACTTAGGTGACTGCACATGCGCAAACAACCGCGCTCAGTGCAGGAAAGCTAAACCACGACAAACTTGTCAGCGAGTTACCACCAATTTTCCGGACTATGCATCCCTGGCCGATTCAATTCACTGCAAGTCATAAGAGTAAACTCGGGTAATGACAAAAAATGTACATAGGTAATTGTGTTGTGTTGTGCTATATTGGCTCATGCGGTTTTGCATGTACATAAACATACATTGTAGGTATAAAGAATATTTTTTGAAATAAATATATGATTTGCATTTTTGTAGTAGGTAGATCATTTTGACTTGATCCTTTTATAAGTAGCTCGCATGCTGAAAAAGTGTGAGCACCCCTGGTCTAGCATATGAAATCAGGGACACTGCATCGGGGCGGCTTTCAGTGATCAGTTGCTTGATTTCGGCAGGTACAGAGAATCGCTTTGGTTCTGAAATGTGGGTCACTAATATTGTGCGTAATGGGTCTGCTTGGTAAGGCGCATTGGTTATGCGCGCAGTAGGCTGTTGAGATGATACTGTGTGTGATCTGTTTTGTCCCACAACATCGGCAAATGTCTTCATTTTAGCTTGGACATCGGTGGAGAGATCAACAACACTGGATAGTAGTTTAGTCTCAAGGGTGGTCACTCTGCTATCTATCTTCTCCATGAAATCAGTAGTAGACTTGATACAAGTGTTGTGAGAAATCACGTCAAAAGTTGCTTGTTCAAACTCGAAGCATGTATTATTGGGGTGATGTTTTTTCAAAGAGTTAATGTCCTTTCTATTTACCCGTTGACTACACATTTTGCAAATGTACAGCCCTGGCTCTTGGTTTATCAGGCTACTTAGCTGCATCATAGTTAGCCCGAGACATTCATAGTGCATGTACTTTTGGCAATTGGAGCATTTGACTTCTGCTTCATGGCGTGGCTTGTCGCACCAGCACATAGTGTCACCATCAGAGTCCAGTGGCATTCTGCTGCATATGAGAAGTTTTGCCTATGAGCTGTATCCAGGCTAGCCCGGCAAGCTAGCCGGCTCTCACCCGGTTGACGCCTGTGTCGAATCCACTTGATATTCTTCAAGTAGACGAGGTCATGCACCAGAGAAGTTGCAATCCAGAAGATAATCCTGAAGATACTTGAGAAACTTGTGGTGCGTTCTGGAGGATATTTAGGAGTAAAAATCCACACTCACTCACTTGGCAGATGAGCAGCGTTGGCCAAGCGCTGAGGATTGGCCAACGCACATGTTCTCCCCGAGCTTACACAAACATAAGTACATTAGGTGTAGTCATTTAACCACAAGCACCTTCAATGAGTTACACTAACTCTCATTGTAGGATCAGGCTCAGGGCCTCGGATAGCTCGTCATTGGGTTGTCCCAAGTATCAAAAATCAGACATGACATTGATACAAATACCGGAATTAAAACTATAGATACTAATTTGAGCAAGGATAAGATGTGAAATAAAAGTCAAAACAACAGACCAAATGACCTAATTAGAGATTGCCTTATGTAGATATTTATAACTCTATCAGAATAACAGCATGATGGGGGTGTAGGGTCAGAGAGTGTTTGGGTCTGTGTGTGTGTGTGTGTGTGTGTGTTGTGCTGAGTAATAACATGTCTGCTACGTTTAACCCATTCTCAAACTGTGCCTTTCTGTTTTTATTGTATATCCTGTTAATCTTTTTATTGAATATGCGTGCACAGGTTTGAAATGAGTAAATAATACTAATTTTAACGATGATGGATGTGAAATAAAAGTCAAAATGTAAAAAATGTTCTATTTAGAGATTGCATTTTTGTAGACACATTATAAACTTTATCAGAATACTGACTTCAGCGCAGCATGATGGGGGAGAGGTGTAGGGTCAGAGAGTGTTTGGGTCTGTGTGTGTTGTGTTGAATCTGAAAAAACAGTCTGCTTCGTTCAACCCCTTTCTCAAACTGGGTATTTCTGTTTTTATTTCATATCCTGTTTGTTTATTTTTCATTGAAAGCGTGTTAGAAATCCATAAATAACATAAAAAGCGAAGTAATACCAAGTAAATAGTATAATCATTATCATGGGTTAAATAACTCTTACCCAAAAAGATTCAGATTCAGATTCATTTATTCGCCATTTGCAGTAAAACCACATTGGAAAAACTGTGCAAGACTACCCCAGTGTGCACCAGACGACACACACCAGAGCTCTTGCCACGAAAAGAGCATGTATCATTCACTACTAGTGTTGAAATTGAGCAAATGTAGCAACAGTCTGCATGTCTCGTGATTTATACTTGATTCTGTCTGGAATGAACATGTGGCAAAGCTCATCTAAAGCCTAGCGTATATCGACAGAGTAACTGGAGACAACTAGTTGCAAGGCGGCTTTTGGCAACTGAGAGTAGATGATGGAGATGATCAGTTGCCGAAATCGGTCGATGTGCGCTCTCTTACAACTGGAGATAAACAGTCGATCTCCAGATTCAGTCAGTTGCCCGTTGCCTGTTCTACTTTTCGGCAACTAGTTGTCCTCCGATCCGGAGATATCCCTGATGTGCGCGCTCCAACAACATGTGTGTATTGCGCGCCCTCTACAGTTTATGTCAGAAAACACACTGTAGTTGAGGCCAGTTGCTGTCGATGTACGCACTGTTATCCCCGAGACTGGCCTGATACAGGAGTTGCCCGTTTTCGCCAGATTGTCGATGTGTGCGGGGCAGGAACTCATATGCGACGGATATAATCAGTTGCCAGTCCGATGTACGCTAGGCATAAGGTTATAGGGATTATCTAATATATTCTTGTTGTATTACTTTGGCATCTGCCTTAAAAAAAATATAGGGAGTAGATCTCAATTATGGTAATTTCAATGTAGCACTATTTGTTCTTGCAGTGGAATGAATATATGATCTTGTATCCATGTAAATACTTATTCTACACTGAAATTCTTCTGTTTATCCAACTCACATTTTATATCATGTTCCTGCCAAAGCAAACCCTCAACCCAGAGTTCAACAGTGAAATCAAACCACCCCGTCAGGAGATGCTAATACACTAAACGACCCACACTTGGAAACGTCTTGGAAGCGTTCTGTTGCGAGATCACACACACTGAAGGGGCGTTTGAGAAGGAAAAAAAAGAAAAAAGTGAACTTGATATGAGGGAAAGTTCCGCACAAAGGCAACTGCGAGCTCTGAAGTGAAGCCTCTTTGTAATTTGGGTTTGTGGTGAGTTTACTTGGGTCCTGCTGCAAAGGAGCTCATAATCTGTTAGGGAGTAGTCGCCTTTGTGGTATCGCAGAGGCAGCAGAGGCCGGCGTTTAGGCAGAAAGCCACAGTCTGCAGCGAAGAGAGTTGAAGAGCAGCCATTTGAACTGTGCTGACCGGAGATCCTTTTATTCACTCACATACAAAGACCAGGACAGTCTCAAAATGTGTGTCTGTGTATAAAAAATAATGGACGATTCCTTCCATCCATCCAGTCTAATGTGCATTTCTGTCAAACTAATCTAACTTCTTTATTAAGCTTAAGTTTAATCTTAATTGGTTTGGTAAGTGTCTGGAGGCTTCTCTCTCTTCCATTGCTGACCACTATAAAAAGTCCGTACTCAAATGGCGGAGATTTTTCATCATATAACCATAAACTTTTATTACTTTTATTATTATTAGCTACAAAAAAATCCACTGTTTCATACCAGTGGGGGAGGGTCCCGGCTCAAAAGTGGCCAAAATGACATGCGCTGACATGCTTGCAATACCACCCCGGGCCGATGGGGGTGGACCTGGGATAAGAATTAGCTGAACTCTCGAAAACGTCTTTACAGGATGGTCCAAAGTTGGCTCTTGGCCCAAAGCTCCGTTCCACATGTGTGTCAATGCTGAGGGGAGTGAATTTTTTTGAATCTCCATGAAAGCCACATTTTTGGCCCATTAGTTAGAACGGCGGAGATAGCCGTGACTACGCCCGTTAATATATACAGTCTCTGCTTCATACAGGGCTAGCTCTGGTTCAATCTGATGTATGTATGGTTTGTAAACGTCTCTGTTGTCAAATGATTCCACACGAAAAAAACAATAAGAAAACCATAAACTAAATCTTCTTTTGTGAAGGGATTCCCAAGAAAAACAAATGTCGAACTCCACCTGAAATTGAATGCGTATTTCAAACTTTTGGCATCTTAAGCAATCAATAATGTACAGTATTGATGGTCTTGTAATTTTTCGGTTTGGCTTGGTTTGTCTACAAATAAATAGGAAAAAAATCCATGCAAGACTTTTCAAAAATGCCAATTCTTTGAGCCACCGGAAGAAAAAGCGGAGACCTGAGAACTGCACTGATGCGATCATACTTCCTGGTTCTAGTAATCCTGGTAAACCACAATAAAAAGCCCCAAAAATAACAATGATAATAATAAGAAAAACTCTAATAGATACATAGACACGTACATATAATAATTCCAGTATAATAATAATAATAATAATAGAATAAATATAAAACGGATTTATGATTAATATATACGTAAATAAAAGCAGGTACCTTCTTCAGCAGCCGCGTGGAGTCCTCGCTGATCTGCATGAACCGCATGATGACGTTGTTGAGGTAGATGTCGCTGAGCGTGGCGTGGTCTTTGCTCTCCCTCCGCACCTGGTTCAGCAGCAGGTACCAGCAGTTCACCGGCGAGAGCAGGTTCTGGTCTTTCCTAGAGCACGGCACAAAATACAATATGTTTACAGGTTTGATGTTGTTAGTGTTTTCATGCCAAGTAAAAAAAAAAAGGCTAATCTTGTATTTAGCTGCCATCTGTACTTCCTACTCCAATAGATTCAGAACTAGACTTCAAGTTTATTTGTTTATGTTCATGGTATGTGTGAACTTTCTGACACAGTCCTTTTTGAATGTCCACGCATGTGCTTTTAACATGTGTGTACGTTTTAACCAAGCCCCGGGGAGATTAGCGGAACTTGAAAACAGAAGGATTTAAGAAGAAAAAAGTTCAGGATGACAAGGGACACTAAAATCCCCACAAAATCCGACCTTTCTGAAAGCTGTAGGTTCTCTGTCAGGTTCTCTGTCAGCTGAGGTTGAGCTGTTTTAGTTTACATTGAGTTCTATGGGACTTTTTTCTGGGTAGCACACGTGAATTTAGTCTGCAGTACCACGGGCGCCCCCTGTGTCCATAGGTGGGACAGCTGTAAGCTAGTAATACTCTATCCAGTAATTATTATAGATCCATGATTTTAACTTAGTAAAAAAACAAAAGAAGAAAAATATATATATAAAATTAATGACAGAAAGACAGAGACAGACAGACAGACATAAAGAGACAGACAGACAGACAGACTGATAGAGACAGACAGACAGACATAAAGAGACAGACAGACATACAGACTGATAGAGACAGACAGACAGACAGACTGATAGAGACAGACAGACAGACATAAAGAGACAGACAGACATACAGACTGATAGAGACAGAGAGACAGACATAAAGAGACAGACAGACAGATAGACATAAAGAGACAGACATAAAGAGTCAGACAGACATACAGACTGATAGAGACAGACAGACAGACATAAAGAGACAGACAGACAGACAGACTGATAGAGACAGACAGACAGACATAAAGAGACAGACAGACATACAGACTGATAGAGACAGACAGACAGACAGACTGATAGAGACAGACAGACAGACATAAAGAGACAGACAGACATACAGACTGATAGAGACAGAGAGACAGACATAAAGAGACAGACAGACAGATAGACATACAGAGACAGACATAAAGAGTCAGACAGACAGACATAGACAGACATAAAGAGTCAGACAGACAGACATAAAGAGACAGACTGACAGAGACATACAGAGACAGACATAAAGAGTCAGACAGACAGACGGCCCCCCGGCCCGAGGTAAATTCATTTCCACAGACACTGTCACATACATTGAAGGGAGAGGAAGGAAGTTGCAGTACAATACTCAAACACACACACATGCAGTACAGGAACATGGACAACATCACAAGTTGTTACAGGTTGTTCCGCGCAGCTATGGCTGAAGGGACCAAACTCTTTCTGAATCCTGCACCTTAACATTCTGCATCTGCGTCCTGAAGGCAGCAGAGTGAGGTGGGTGTGGAGAGGATGGTCCGGGACATGTGTGTTACTGCAGTGTGGTTGAGGTGTGAGAGGTCTGCGGTGGGAGATTGATGATTTTGGATCCTGTGTGTGTGACTTTGGAGAGTTTATTTCTGTTGGTGATGGAGAGCATGTTGAAGTAACAGGGAGAGAATATATAAAAATGAAACGTTTCCTGTACTCAATTTGACACCGAAACAGTTCCCAATGTATCAAATATGTAAATGTCACTATAACAACACAGCAAAAAATAAGTTAAAAAATCCTAACTTGTATTCCTATCTTAATTTGAGCACATTCTGACTGCCTTAAAACAAGATTTGCCAATGGGACAAAGAGCAAAATGATCTTGTTTTAAATCCACAATTTAATACAGGGCTGATGTATGTACGGACTGAGAGCTGCTCTATTGTCAAATGAATCCACACGAAAAACATAAAAAACCATAAACTATATCTGCTTTTGTGAGGGGATTCCAAAGAAAAACAAATGTCGAATTCCACATGAGATTAAATTTGTATTTCGAAATTTTGGCCTCTTAATCAATCAATAATAACGCCTTATTAACCGAGCGCGAGGTCTGTGTGGAGAAATATCAGATTGCGGCCTTAATGTACAGACCGAGCCGTGGGGAGGTCTGTGCACAAAGGCCAAGGTCGGATATTTCTCTGTACAGACCGAGCAAGCGAGGTTAATAAATGTTTTATTATATGACTCTGGTCTGTGTCTTTACCAATGCTTTTGAGATATTTGTGAAGTATGTTTATGTCCGACTTGGTTTTGTGTGATACGGGCTGTGGACCGATTGTCATGGTAACGGTCATGGTAACGGTCCGAGATGGGAAAATATCAGACCGGTAATCAGCCAATCAGAGCGCACGTACGGTCCAAGTCATAATAATAATGTACAATATTAATGGTTTTGTTATTTTTCTGTTTGGTTTGGTTTGTCTAAAATGAAATAGGAAAAAAATACATGCAAGACTTTTCAAAAAATGGCTCTTGATCTTCCACAGTTCTTGAAATAAGACTAAATGGCTTCGTCTCATTGGAAAATCTAATTTTAACCCAGTCAGAATGTGCTCAAATTATTATAAAAACCACTCAAATGAATCAATTATTACCTCATATATCATTATTGTTGGCAGTGAATGTATTTTACTCAAGGTAATTACAACTGAGTAGGATTTGTTTAACTGAGGACAACATCCAGACGAGTACATCTCCATCCAGACGAGCAGATGCCAAAATCTCTCACCGCAAAAAGTTTCCGGAAGAACCTCAGAAATGTATAAACTCTTGAAGAAGGTGAAGTTGAGGCGAGTGCGACAGATCATTAATAAGGCATATATTTTAATACATCTTCCGCATGAGTCATAGGCCTCCCTTGGCGCTAAATGGCCCATATATTCCTGGTTCGGGGCCCAGAAAGCTCTCTGTGTAAATGTATCACAAGGACTACACTGTTGGAAACCTACTCTGCAGCGGTGACAGTTTGGGGGCAGAGCTCGGAGCCAAACCGCGGTCTTACAACGAGGGAGGCAGCTCTCAGTGCACTTAAAGCTGAGCGAGTGAGAGCCGAGCATACGTTTCACACCAGGACTCCCCGATTATTTTCGTTTTGGATTGTTTTTTTGTGTTTGTGTTTTGTGGGTGTCAACAGTGATCTTGCTTTGGAGAAAAAAAAAAAAAAAAAAATGCAGCCATGTTGCATATTCGATGTTATTTGTGACTCACTGTTGGAAAAGTTTAAATAAAGTTACAAAAACAAAAGAAAACAACAAGTACTCCCAGAATTCTCAAACTACAAGAACACCCTGAGCTGTCATTTTGACGGCTCCCATTCAAGTTAATGGGTTTCTGAAAAAAATACCCACAAAATTGTTTTTAGTAAATTGGAATTCGTAGAAGATGTTTTTTTTTTCTCTATTTAGTGCATGGTAGAAACTTAACTCCCAGAGCTGCCATTTTGACGGCTCTCATTCAAACCAATGGAATTCTGGGATTTTTACCTTTACTCACTTTTGATAAGTGCTAAAACTGGTCATTATAACTTCAACTGAAATATAGCAACAACAAAAAAGCCTAATGCTAACTTCTGACAGTAAACAGTGTGTTGCTATGGTGACTAGCACTAGTGAGTCTCTGGTGGAGATAATTACATAACTACATTGAAACAAACTACACATAGACACAAAAAAGTCCGTTATGAAGACCAGAAACATTCACAAACAGAGTATTTACACTTCCAAAAGCCGTCAAAATGACCGCTCTAGGAAAGAATCACAAACTTTTTGAAAGAAAGAAAGACGGCACACGCATAGAAGAGAAGGCGGTGAGACGTGTTAGCGCAAAAGGCTAAAGTGTAAATAAACTCTCGGGTTGGGGAGAGTTTCCGGTTTTTGGTGCAAACTGTAGAACATTGTCCAGGACGTGAGCAGAGGACCCGCGAGTAAGCACAGGCCAGCAGCTGACTTCCTCTGGTTAATCTACAACATTCTTCCTGTCTGCAAAGGGCGTGTGTGTGTTAGCATTAGCAGAGGGCCTAAGGTTAGCTGGAGGGTCAGCTCTTCCAGGAACCATATGGAGAGTTTGCTTTGCATTGACAGGCAGCACTTGTCAACACAACAGGTGACACAGCACAAGTCCAACCAACCCAGGCTTCTACCACTACATTCAGGACGGGATCGGCTAATACTCAGGGAAAAATAATTATAAGAACGTTTTTAAAGTTTCAAAGTATGGGTAGATTTGTGTTTGTGTGTGTGTGCAGATAATAGGATATGACATTGTGAATTTAGACCAAAATAATGCTGAAATATTTGAATTAAATGTATATACTGGTTGGACTATGACTATTGGTCCTGCTAACTGTCAATCATTCTGGTGATATGTGACGTATGGCTGTCAAAAAGTAGAGAGGGCGGGTCTTAAATTCTGGAAAATCCTCACATGCACCTTTAATTTGACTTTTCCTCACTAATGATATTTTGTTTTTGTCGTGTCAGAAAGAGTCTTGTAAAGTAAGTAAATGCAGCTTTAATCTTTAACCCTTTATTTTTTTGGATACTTGTAAGAAAGATAGAGGCTTTGGTCTGAGAGCTGATTGGCTGAGTAAGGATTGACCTATCGTTTCAAATGTTCTGTCTGAAAAAGCTGATTGTAAGATGTGACAGAAAAATAAATGCATGGGAAAACCACCAAACTGTTTAGATGATGGCCTTTTTTACCGTTATCGTGTTTTTTTCCTTCTTGTATTGTGACTTTTTAGCCGTATCGCCCAACCCTCACACACGGTAGATCCAGTTATAGTGGTTTTAAAATAAGGTATATTTTCACAACATACATTATACAAAAGGTTTGTCGAGGTACATTTTTACAGGCGGGATACATTTGGTTGATTGCAAAGTTCACATGAAGAAAATCAGACTGAAAAATGTGAATATTCAAACTCACTAAAAACATCTTGCAGAGCTCAAAAAACACCGAACACAAAAACAGTTCAGTCTTGCTTTGTTACCACTCTAATCGGACATGCTTGCGGCTGTAGAATCGTCGTCC